TTTGGATTCCAGTATTACCCAAGGTAGGGTAAAGGTTAAAGAGGGTTTGATTATGATGTGCTGTTTGCAGGGTCAGGAGATGGTAAGGATAAGAGTGGAATTGAATCCAGGATCTTCATACATTTTACTTTTCTTTCATGCAAGTCTCTGTATGCTGTGAATATCCTTGCCCCTTTTTTTTCTTCTTCTTTTTGATTTAGGAAAATAATGATATGTTGGCTTATGCTTCATACAGAAGAGAGGAAGTGATTTATTGAATTATATATCTTCTTACCTTTTCTTCACCTTCACCTTCTTTTGTACAGTATCATCAGAGCAACTCAAGTTCTGAATGATAATTCAAAATATAAATAAATTTATAAGCTTATTTCTCATATGTATACACAAGTTATTGGTAACCAAAAGGTTATATGTAATGTATTGTGCATGACAAACCAGGTCACCCATTGTAATATGACTAACTTTTATCTTTTGGCAGACACCCAGGCCAGGTTGACCCACCCTATGACCCCGCACCTTTGCACTTGGTCACAAGAGTGAGATGCCTTAAGAGAAAGCCATGGTGGGATAAGATGATCATGAAGCAATTAGGTCTTGACAAAAAGGTTTGTTTAATTGTTACAGTTTTGTGATTAACTTCGTTGTTTTCTTTAGGCTGATAATTTTCTGTTTTTGTTTGGTTAGTATTGTTTTATAGTTAATCTAGGATAGATGTTATGTATGATGATTTACAATAATTTATAGTCTGTCCACATAAATCTGATTGCTGGTTGGACACAAATCCTGGCTGGAATTGGTGGAAAATTCCAGTGAGGAGTGCACGTGAAATAGGGAATTACCAGTCAATAATGATAATCTGTCGTGAGAACATTGGCTGTCTGCTGGATGGTTATGACCCAACACCACTTAGGCAGTAACAGCTTAAAATACTACTAATGAAAATGACAATGTTGCTATTATAAACCAATGGGATTGAGGTGATGGGGCCATCTCGTCATAAAAAAACTGGGTGAGCAGCAGATGATGGGAATGTTTTGTCATGGGGAAGTTAGGGTGAGGGCCAGAGTGACAGAAATTCTTGCCAAAGGTTTTGGAAGGAGATTGACGAGAGGAAGGTGCTTCTGTGATATTCCCATGGGTAAACAAGAGTGGAGTGTACCATCCATAAATCATGCTAACTCCAGGGAGGATACTATGTCTACACACATGAACTAAAATAAGACAGCTAGTACAATGTAACTTTCTGTTATGGCTATTGCACAGTATAAATTACCTGGAGAGACAATATGGAGTTATGCTCGATTACCAACTTGATACAGCATAAAACATGAGAAATATAGGCCTTGGAAAATGACATTACAGCCAAAATGTGTCTCCAGAATAAGAACTAATAGGCAAGGAATCCTGATGTGAATGTGTTCCTTTGGGCTGCCTGCAAGCCAGATTTCCTCAGATGGACCAACCACGACATCCACTAGGCCAGTGAGGTTATAACTCTTGCTTACCCTCTAAAGGCTGGGATGCCTGCAAACAGTAAGCATTCAGTGATGATGAATCAACTGAGACCGCTCTAAATAGCTGAACACACTGGACCACTCTTTCATAAGGCCCAGGAAAAGCTTGCCTTCACATTTCTTGCTGAATGGATTGAACTGAATGCACATATGCCTGTGTTTATTTCAGCTGTCGATTATCATTTTATAAACAGTGATAATCAACTTTGTATTTTCTGATAACTATACATTTTGGCTTCTCTAGCTCTGGAAATGATTATGCATTTAACCCATTGTTGGTGGGGACAGCATGTACATATATGCCATTTTCACATTAATTTTAGTTTATTTTTTGTGCTTACACATAGATGGCTCCACAAGAGCTTTGTTACCAAGGAGTCAATTGCTAGTTCTACCTATCTCACATGTTTTCTCCTTTCCTTGTGTCAGATTCTTTTATTGCTATTATTCTTTCAGTAATATATGATCATATAACATATAACATATGTAATAATCATGATGTAAATGATAATAATAACACTATCAGAATTAATAGAATTTAAGGATTGGGGAGAACAGGTCTGGTTATGTAGGGTCTTCTAATTGACTCTTTTGAGGCTGAGCAGTTGGGGAGCCATCTATGTAAACAAAAATGCAGTCAACAGGTTATGTACCTAGTGGCAGTGGGTTAAACTGGAAACTTATATTGGAAACATTTTACAAATATTAATGTGTGTAAAAAGAACTGTGGATTTATGATGCTGCTCACCTTGATGCCAGCTGTCAGAGGCAAGAATACAGACTTTATTGTGGGACATTTTTTTTCATATTTTTGTTTTGATTTTGGTAAGACAGGCAATAATACAGTGTTGTAGAAAGTGTTGTAAAGTGGAAATGTAAAGCATATATGTCATAGCAATTATGGATATGATTTTAGGGAATAGTTTCTAGGTATAAATATATGTAGTAATAATGGTAACATTGTGATAGAATACTCTCTGGGCCAGTACTAAACCAACCATGCCATGCGACCCACTAAAAGGAGTGGCATCTAGGATCTAACTAGCTCCATAGTCATTACCTATCTACTCATACATGAGTAATGATAGCGAGGTTTTATACACACTCCCTGTGGGCACTCAGTGAAAATTGATTTAGAAATTCAAAACTGAAGTCAGATATACTGAGGTATATATATGAAAGATGGTATAATGCAGTGTCGCATCCAGGTTTGAGGCCTGGTCAGGGAGGATTGTTATAAATCTATCAATGCGGCATTGCGTTATTCCATCTCTCATATATATACCTCAGTATATCTGACTTCAGTTTCAAATTTCTAAATCAATTTCCACTGAGAGCCCACGGGGATTGTGTGTAAAACCTCGCTATCATTACTCATGAACCCCAAGACAATTGGGTATTAGAGTACCCAGTTGTACTCTAATACCTTTATCACATATTTGGACCTTTGCCTAAATGCATTCAAAATGTTATTCTAAGTCCTACAGATCAGCATCTTAGTTATCAGTTTCATAGAGCCAGCCATTATCACATGCAGCAGTACTTAATAGTCAATGTATATATTCCAGAGAAGTGATGTTGCAGTGTTAAAGAATAACCCAGAAAACAACGCAAAGCTTTGGAAAGTGAAGCACTTGGTGAAAATAACTCCCCTAAGAATTCCAGACAACTTACCAGAAGATGCAGATCCAGCAAGTTGCTTCTTGAAGGTATGTTCATGTTAGCCATCCCATACATATGTTCATGTCCTTTATTATTTCACTATACTCTTTGTTATCTTGTAGTACTTCTGTAGCTTCGTGCTTTTGTAATCAACTGTCTGTTAAGGATTTTACCTGTAATCTAAGGCTCTTTGGTTCATTTTTTTTCATTTAGTAGCAAGAAAATAAACTAATTTACTGTAGTTAGCAATGTAGTGAACATGTTTTGTAACTCAATATTTCAATCATTCTTTTCTGCTACTTATCATGTCTTGATAGCTTTATATTTTCTTAGTAAGGTTTTGGTAGGATATACATTCTTGTGTGTTTTCAGGCATTGAAGTTTATCAAGCAGATTATTCACTTTATTTTGGACATTATTTATTTGACAATAGTCATTTCTTTTGATAGCAAGGTTGTACAGTGAGACTTACAAGACAGTAGTTTTTGTTAATGTTTATGTAATGTGTCTCATATTTTCAGTTCAGCAACATAGTATAGTAGACTTTGTAGGAGGATTTATACTCACTTGTGATTTGTTTTAATTATTGTTTTTTGTATATACATATGGAAATTCCTTATACCTATCTGGTGTTGTATCCAATATTCCCTCAGAATGCTTATTGCTTTGCTGTTATTTCAGGAAACTGGAGAATTCATATACTCCCCCCACATCAAGGTGGATGAAAAAGCACTTCAGGAGGATGAAACAATAAAGGCTACAAAATGGAGTCAGGAGTTTGTTGACAAGGAGACACGCAAGAATTGGCAACATCCCTGGCAATTAAAGCTTTGTTAGCTGCTAGAGATGTACTGAGTGCGAAGTAGATTGTCTTGGATGTATTCCATGTAACAAAATTAAGTTAGTTTCAGATATAAACAACTTGAAAAGTATTTGTTTGATATTTCAGTAAAATGATGTAATAGGAATGATGTTGTAACATCTTATATTCTGATTTAGAATTTATTTGAATTATCTATTATGAATTGTTAGATTATCTATCCCTCTTCTGTTTAGGTAACAATGTCATTTGGCTGCAGTCAGTTTTGGCAATGCCTAGAGTAATGTACCAATGTCATCTCCCCCCCCAAAAAAAAATAAAAAGGTTATACAGAACGCTTATGGATTCATGCAACTTCAGTCCTTGTGGGGTAATTTGAGGTTATTGGGTTGTATTTCTTATCTGACTGAAATATGCACTTTGTATGAAAAAAAGAATATTCAATACCATATGAAAAATAAATGTACATATTGTAAATTGAAGATTTCATAAATAAACAGCCTTAATGGACCGGTTATTTCATTTACTCTCAGAGTTCACAGGAAGAAAGTAAAACAAAAAATGACATTGCTCAACACTTTATTCACTACTCATAGAGAAGTGTTTGAGTGATACAGTGAGTAACAAAAATGCTCTTGTGCCCCATGACTCACAATTTCATAAATAATAATTGCTCTTATAACACTGATGTCAAACCTTCACAGAAGGTGCGGGTACTTTAGGCAAGATAGTAAGGCTTGACACTTGTCTTACTAATAGTTGGTTGTCAAGAAGTCTCATTTGATTAGCAATATAACTTATATCTAATGACATACAGAACACATTTTTTCAATGTCATTTTAAAAACAACATTCACTTAATCTCTCATTCATTCATTTTACATACTAATTTATCATACTTATCACACTGATGGGTTGATTCAAATATATATATATATATATATATATATATATATATATATATATATATATATATATATATATATATATATATATATATATATG